TCATTTCAAAGATCGTTTTCCAGGCAGATTCAACGAAAACAATTGGGATGCTTAGGGAGATGCGCAAAGCTTCCCAAGACAGGAGAAGTGTACCTGATAAACAGCTCACAGAACTGCATGGAAATAGGGGTTGTTCCTAACACCTTTTTGTAATTTTTTTGGAATCTCTTTGTTTTTGATGGTTATGAGCTGCCCGGTTTTTTTTGGGTGGTGGTGGTGGGAGTTGAACAGCATACAGGTAGTCCTCGACTTACAACAGTTTGTGACCGTTCAAAGTTACAACGGCACTGGCAAAAAAGTGACTTAGGACTTCGTTTTTCAGACTTACGGCCGTTGGAGCATCTCTGCGGTCACACGATCAAAATTTCGGAGGCATGGCAACCGGCTCGTGCTTATGACGGTCGCAGTGCCCCGGGGGGGGTGTCACATGTTCCCCTTTTATGACCTTCCAATAAGCCTGATTCACTTAACGGCCGCCTGACTAACTTAACAACCGCCGTGATCCACTTGACAAGGGTCTCGAGCAAAGTCGTAAAGCGGAGCAAGGCTCGCTTAACAACTGTCTCACTTAGCCATTCGAAATCTGGGGCTCAGTTGCGGTCATAAGTCGAGGGACCACCTGGACCACTGGTGAAGAAGGGAGCCTCTGGGGTTGCAAGGAGCCCAGGACCCATCACTCCCGACATGCCCGTTGCACCCACGTACAGTCGAGGTGGCTCTGCTGGATGCCTTCCACGTCTTCTCCATGGATGAATCGATAGCAGCTCTTCCCCACGAGTTCCGAGGGACTTAAGTCCATGTAGTCGGTGATCCTGGAGAAGAGGAGGAGGAGGAGGAGAGGACAGCTGTGGACCAGAAATGGCCTTTGGTTTGGGGTGGAATTTAAAGGAGAAGCAGAGCTTGGCCAAACTCTTGTAGGTGGTCTCGAAGGGGAGATGACCCACATGGTCTTCTCCAGGGGGCGTCTAAGGGAAGCTAGGACTTCTTGGAAAGGAAGGACACCATCTACGGTTAAGGCAGATCTTGGGTCCACCAAGGCTAGAAGGACTGACCTCAAGCTTGTTGAGGTTCTTCAAGATTTCTACCAGATCGTGGGCATGTGGACAGGTGGAGGGTCTTAGGATCGGAAGGGGGGGTCAGGAGTCCTCACATCAGCCCAGACAAATGGACGCCCAGCCCACTTTATTTGAAAACATCTGGTGATGAAGCCCTCACAACTCCAGGAGATAAGACGGCTCTTCTGCTTCACTAGCTTTCGTGGTCAATGAGAGGTTGAGATTCTTCCCCTCCCACTCAAAGCCAGCGAGGTCTACTTGATGATGGGCAGAGCAGTTCCTCATGAGAGGAAATGTGGTCATCGGGTGTCACCAAACCTGGTCATCACCCAAGGTGGATTGTGGACTACAAGACATGGCTTAGGGGGGCCAGTTCCAGTCCAGGTATGAGTCAGCCTGCCCTAGAAGTTACAAATTCAATGAGATGTAAATGAGATGTAAATTGTAAACAATGATTTGGAAAGGATAGAAAACTTTGTTATTAAATATTATGGATGTTTAGCTAGAATAGGACATGAGGATTCAGTGTCATTGGAGGATTTTAGAAATAAGTAAATGAAATGCCAGTATGTGGTTATGTATTAAATCTTGGTATATTTTATGACGAAG